ATGAAGCAGATGTCTCTTCCAGGTTACAGATGATTTGGCGAAAGACAAAATAAATACAGACGAAGATTTTTTTTTTTTTGCATGCACCAATAAGGAGCTGGAACTGTTATTGAATGTAACACAGGAGTGTGGCGGCGGAAAATAGACTGGGAGTTGTTGCAAAGTAAATACAGCGACATGCACAGTACAAGTGTAGGCAGATAAGCGTTATTTGCACAGTACATAATATTTTAATAAAAATACCATGTCAAAAACCCGGTCAGTAGCATCGTGTTTCTGCTTTGCATGACTTCTGCGTCATCGTTTCTAAAGTCCTCCGTTTTGGCCCGTCTTCACTAAAACGCCCTCCGGAGTTTTGAAACGCAAAATGGGGTCGGCAGTGTTTCTAAACTTCTCCGTTTTAGGTCTTCGTTTTCGCCATTGTAGTCTGGACGGGAGGTGAAAACGTAGCAAAAGGTCTCCGTTTTAATTGGAAAACACAGTAGTGTGGATGGGGCCGTAGACAACAGCCACTCACATCTACACCTAAGGACAATTTGTAATTTGACAAACTGTATGTTTGTCTACGTGTAGCACCTTATCACCAAAGCAAATTCCTTGTACATGTAAAATACTACTTGGCAATGAAGCTCTTTCTGATTCTGACTCTGATTCTATCATGAGTGGACTTTTTGAGCTGTGGTTTCACTTTGATATAACAGGTGAGAGCTTTGTGACTTCATTCATGAAGGCATTTAAAAATATTGAAAAACCTTACAAACCAAAACACTGAGCTCCTTTATAAAAAATCATTTACTCGTCTTAGCTGTCTTTTTTCAGTGAAGCATCTAATACCACTGAAGACCATTAAAAATGCAAAATCCCATAAAGATTTCCTCAACAATGCTTGGTGTGTGTCAAGAGTGCTCTCCTGAGTTCTGTGTCCTCCTCTGCTACAGTTGTTTCTGAAGCATTTCACACTCCAACTGTAGTCCAAAATTCCCTTGATGGAAGAGACACAATCACTCACTGTCCTGATGTAATGCGCTATGGCGAATTACCAGCCTTACACCAAGGAGAAGTGTGTCTATACAGTACACGTGAGTGCAACTACTCATGAAGATGGAAAGAAAAAGAGTGTCAGCTGTGTGCGTGCTGGCTGCCCTCCTTCTCTCAGCAGGGAGGTGCTACCGCTAATTAATAACCAGGGTCAAACTTAGATCCGTTAGTGAACCTCTGGGCTTTTTGCATCCCAATGGAAAATCCCACCGGAGGAACTGTGCGCTAAAAGCAGCATATGCAACTCATATGTGGAACTCCACTGTCCTGTCAGCAGATTAAACCAATACGACTCTTTGAATAACGTGATTAAAATTCAGCATTACATCGTTTCAAAATTTATAGCCGCGTCTATGAATTTCCAATTCTCTAGTTTAAAACGTTTTACAGGAAAAAACGTCAATCGTTTAAAATTATGCTGTATCGTTTATATCGTTGTGTCGCAAATTCCACACTTTACTGTAATATTTTGGTGGGGGAACGGCGCTTTGGACTGCGGTGATGTTAGTTTGAATTTGGACTTCATCTATCAAATATCCAACATAAAACTAATATCCAACTTGAAAGTAACTTTGGATATTTGGATATTAGTTTTACTTTGGACATTCGATAGATGGTCCAACTTCTAACTTAACCGCGGTCCATTTGTCCACACGTGCTGATATTGCCGGGAAGATATTGGCATTAAAAATAATGGACACATCCCTATCCAAGGTTTAATGACTTACCCACGGACATACAGCTTACTTTGTGGTTCACTAAGACATGCTGTTGTTGTGATACTAGCTGTTGTAGCAGGAGAGCTGTGAGTATCACTTTCTGGAGCTGCTCTGCTGCTAGCGACAGTTTGCTAACCCACAACCTAGCTGATTTTAGTTATATTACTTGCTGTGTCATTGTTCACTCTATATTATGGTTTTTGTACTGGTGTTGGATTTCTCAAGAATAGCTTACCCCACCTTTTTGATGCAGAGAAATATCCCGAGTTACAGATGGAAATGCCGTATTTCATTGAAGTTGCTAGAAATGTTCTATATTGGGATATGTATCGTTATTGGGATATGAAATGACCTATATCGGGATATGATTTTTTTTGTCATATCGCACAGAACTGTCACCAAGTGACTTTGCCAGATAATCCGATCCTTACAATACTAGGGCTGGCCCGAATGTCCTTTTTTTGAGTTTCGATAGTAATTAACAGCTATTATTTGAAGCTTCGCCGCCGAAAAGCAATAGAAGGATAAATGCCTTCTGGCAATGACATGAGTGAGGGAGAATCTGTAGTCGACGTGTAGTTACATTTTTGAGGAGGTGCAAGTCAGGCTACACCGTAGGTGACAGCGTAGGGTAGGGGGCTACGCAGAGGCTATGCCGTCAATTTGACGGCATAAGTATAAACAGCACTTTAGAGAGAGAGAGAAAAAGAAAATTCTCATAGCGTAAAACAGCAGGTACTCATTACCAACACTTTGTTTTTAACTGTGTTATGTCTAGGCTAGTAGACACTAGTGCAGGGAGAGAATGAGGAGTTAGACAGCAGACAGCATGATCGCTATTTCCGGTAGCGGGTCTAAAATAACACGTTATTATGCGTTATCACTTTTAACTTTTATTATAGCCTACTACATGTTCTTATTCAACTGGCCTAATATAATGATATTGTGTTTATTATGTTGTTGTTAGTTTGTTGTAGCCTACAGTTTAGGCTACTGATTAATATTAAAAGGTAGGCTGTTTTACTTTTTGTTGATCTGTAATGAAATTAAGCAATTGTAAAATAATTAAACCCATAACTGCCACACTGCCGTTGTCATCATTCAGTTTAAAGTGCTCTCACACACCTAAGGGCTTCATTTTGCTTTCCCTTTACATAAACTTACGTTCACCGCTGTGAGTGGAGGTCAGGCGTGCAAAACCCCCCCTCAACATTCGAATCTCAAAATTAAAAATCGAATGTGTACCCAACGATCGAATATTCAGGTCCAGCCCTATGTAAGGGCGCACTCACAGTATGTAGTATCCATGCCATGCCCAGGCCCACTTGAGGAGATGGGCCTGAGCATGGTTAAACTGGACTCCGGCACGGTGCGCATGTAGCGTGATTGCTAACCGTGCCCGAGCACGGAACCCCGACACAAACTCCACTGTGCCGTGTGAGAGAGAGAACGCTTTTTCTTCATAGAATGACATTCAATATTGACCTTCAGCTATGTACAGCGTGCTTATCTAGACAACCCAGCTATGATCAAATGTTAACATAGCTCTCCTTATTAGCCAGGCTCCTTACATGCTTGCTAATAATTTTTCTGAGTCTCCAACAGTGACAGTTGTGTTGGACAGATTTTTGCAGTGGTGTTCATGAGAGAGAGGTGGAGAGAGAGACGGAGACAAGGTGCTGTGCGAATATATGCGCATTACTCGGCAATCAACTATGATTTTAAATGGGCCTAGTAAAAAAAAAAAATCACATATCAATATGTGCCGGTCGCCGTTGATACTGTGGCGGGCCACTGCAAAAATGGGAAACACTGACCCAGTGATGACGTAAACGTGAGCGGGGGAGTGGGGACAATCGTGCTCGGGCACGGAACAAGGCTACCGGGCCTAGTGTGAGTACACCTTAATACATGTTGTATAATTCAAGAAAATTTATGAAACATTTAGATTTGAATCAGAAAAGCAAAAAGTTTTAAGAAAGACTATTCTACATTAGATGTGTTAAGATTTATTTGTAGCAATGCTATTTTTTGTTCTTTCTGGACTTGAAGGTTGTAGTGTGATTAATCACCTTTGCGTCCTAAAAATACTGGAAACCCTCCATTCTGTAAATAAAAAAACTGTACAGGGATGGAATCAAGTGAAACTTTTTATTTCTATCATTCCTAAAAAGCTAAACTTTTTACTGTACTGTACTGCAAAGCAGCAGCTACCTTAAATCCTCAACTACATCCCACACACAGGGTAGGTTCAGATGAGAGATTATCATGTCCTGAAAGACCATAAAGCATAAAGACTGACACATGAGAAAAGAAAAAGAAAAAGAAGTGATGCACTGATCAACAGGAGGATCAGTGACAAAGATGTACATGAAGAGATAATTAAAATGTTGTGAAAATGAAATGAAATAAATTTAGTTTAAGACTGGGAAGAATTGATCATCAGAAGAAAAAAATGAATTGAAATCAAAGGATGAGATGAGATAGTGAACAGATGAAGCACATAATGCAAAAGATACTCTGAAAGTATTCAATTACATAATTCACTTGTGATCACACCAGAGAATCTGAAATGACTAACCCTAACCGAAATTACTAAGAGAGTCTTGTGGAAAAGTAGAGTATCAAGAGTGAATGTCAATCAAAGAATGGAAGAACTGATCAAGACAAAAACGATATGAAACAACAAACGTGGAGTGAAATGACAGAATCACAACACCAGAACCAGATCACAAACTCACGGACGACACAAACGTAAGAAGGATGGAAGATGATTGACGAGCACATCCAAACATGATTGGATCCAGATAAAGAAGACGCTCACCCTTCTGTACAAAATGGCAAACCGAGAGAGAGAAAGACGGCGTGTGATTTGCTAGGCCCAAATGCCCTCCTCATCGTCCTATTGGTTAGTTCAGTCCAACCGCAGCGTGAGTTTGGAGAAAGCAGGAAGTTAGTTTGTCGAAGCAGGAATTTTTTTTGTAGACAAACATGTAGCAGAAATGTTTGAAGATTTTAGCGTTTTTGACAAAAATATTAGCTAGTAATAGGTGAATAATTTTAATACATATTATAAGATGACTTGTTAATGAAAATAGTAGGAATATTTAGAAATCTTGTTTCAGAGCATGCTTTCATCCACATAAGAGTAATGATATTAGTTTTAAGTGATGTGTGGGGTTTGGGACGATATTTGGAGATTTTCCCCAGATGAGGGCTGACTGTCCTGGGCAGAGATCTTACCTGGTCCGGGGAGGGCTTGTGATTGTTGGGCTGCTCTGAGTTTGGAGAGGAGACTTTAAGGTGGTCGTCCTCATAGTTGTCTGCCATCAGCTTCATCCGGTTTTGAGTCTACAGAGGAAGAGAGTCGCACACAATAAGATCTCTTTGATATCTCACACCAAAGGCAGTGAAAAAGGAGGCAATTCGGCAACAGCAAATCACATTCAGCAGCATGTGTGTGTGTGATAAGAGGAAAACTCTTAGCCGTAAATTCCTCCAGGAGTTAATTTGCAGAGAGGAAGAAGAGAGGAGAGCGTTGGATGACTTCCATGAGCTTCGCCTTGGCTAACATAAGTGTGTGTGTGTGTGCAAGAGACATAGAGAAAGATGAGAGAAAGACACAGAGACAGAGAGAGTCAAGAATGGACAGTAAAAAAAGAGCGAGAGAAAGATTCCCAACTGTCCATGTGTGTTTGTCAGGTTGGTTCTGCTTATATTAAAGAGAGCAATAAAGATATTACGCATTTTGAACTGCACACATATTACCCGCAAACACACACCCACTGACATACCACCTGTTGTGTAGCTTGTTAACTGGTGGGGAAAAATAACAGGGCAGCTAACATGCCACTTAAGGAGCCTAGACAAATATTAGACTGTATACACAAAGCACACATACACACACATCAGCATACATAGACAGTCATTTTGGCTATTCCATTTCATCTCCCTTGCTTTCCTCATTTTCATCTTGCTAATCAGCTATTTGCTCCTCTCCCTACTGTCCTTTATCCTCTCCTCCTTTCCGCTCCTCTGTGTTCGTCTCTGGCTGCTCCATCTGTTTCACATGTTATAGTTACACTTCAAGCTTTAGAGTAGGCCTGGAAAGAGAGAAGAAGTGAGAGAGAGTAAGCAAGGAGGGAGTCAGTCTAAATCTGTCAGTCTTGTACAATCGAAATCCCCTTAGCCTCTCACTGAGCCCAGCAAGGAACAGAGGCTTAAACAGGCACGACCGAGGTTTTGTGTGTGTGTGTTTGACAGAAACTGAAAGAAAAATGTGAATGCCAACTTTCATGTGTTTGTATGAAAGCTAAATGAAAGACTGCATTTTTAAGAGATAGTGGCGCTAAAAAAAGTGTTTTTACTAGGTGTGTATGTGGGACCATATAAGCGTGCGTGTGTGTTTGTGTGTGTGTGTGTGCGTGCACACACGTATGTTTCTGTACATAAGTCAAGTTGAAGAGAGCCTCCTCCGGTGCGCACACACACATTATTTACTTCCTCGTTTTCCAAAGACAGCTTTAAAATAAACACACAGATATTTAAAACAAACATGGAAAGTCAACAGTTTGTCTTGAAACCACATAAGTACAGAAGATGGATTTCCCACTGCACACACACACAGAGACACAAGTACACGCACACCGACCCACACACACACACACACACACACACAAACAGAAAAACGCTACCAGAAACACGGACTACACAAAGGTGGTGCTCCTACTATTCTTACATTGCACAGATAGTAGCGGAGTAAATAAAATCTCCTTCACACAATGCTTTGAGCACCATGTTGTACACCATGTTTAGCACAGCAAATTTGCACCTTTGTCGGACTTTGAAGTGCAAATCTGCACAGTCAGACAAAGAGAAAATATAGTGTTTTGATATGTCTTGTTAAAAGTCGTTGTGTCCCATTACCTTGTTTTGTATAACAATACACTTCCAGACAGCACAATTCTCAGAGTGCTCACAGTCCTTGATCCCTTTCTTCAATATTAATTATGCATTGTGATTTAACATCCTGTTAAGGTTTAGAGTGTGAGCCAGTGTTAAAAGTATTTCACCACAGCACTCCACAGACTTATTTTCTTATACTGAAGAAGTCCTTTGGATGAGGGACGAATCTCTTCTAGTATCTTCAAACAAGTTCAGTTGCCCTTGACTTTAACCTTCTTTGGATACTCCACATTACAAAACACCACCGCCCAAAGTTGCTTAAAGATTTTTAGGTGTCATACTAATATAATATAAGATTAGAATGATAATTTAAGATCAGAAAGCAATATGTTAAATTGCTTTTGAGTAGCGCAAAGTATCTGTGTACTTGCGTCAACCATGTTTGCGCCCCAAGTGTGTCCATTCATCCAAGGGAAAGTGATATGATAAGTGGTCAAAAACAGTTTTGCCCAATGTGGCACTCGTGCCCAAGACCCTGAGATTAAGGGTCTCATGCTCTACCAACTGAGCTAGGGGGCCTGGTACGTGAGAACAATGAAAAAAATGGGTTTGATTTCACGGCTGCATTAACTCCCTTGCTGAGAAAGCTCAGAAGGGTGGAGGGTAGAATTTGGGTTGACTCTCCCCACACCAAAAGTATATCAATACAGAAAACTAGTAAATTAACACTGCAGTTCAGTTGTCAGGATGGCTGAGTGGTCTAAGGCACCAGACTAAAGAACTTCCTCCTTTTGCAGTTAAGGGACTTCTGGTCTCCAAATGGAGGTTTGGGTTCAAATCCCACTCCTGACAAAGATTTTACCTGCAAGATTCATCCCTGAAGCCTGATGACATTTAGACTTGGGGGTATTTTCTTTCATACCTTAATATCTTCCCTACTTGTCACCAGGGTATTTATGATATATGAAGGTATTTGTGTTTTTCTTTTAAAGTTAAAGCAGTTAGACATAATAATTTACTATAGTCTTCTTTATCTATATCATTTTGGTGTGATGAGAGTCCATACCTTTTACCCTTTTGAGTTTTCTCAGTGTGCAAAGTAATGCCGCCGTGAAATCAAACCTTTTTTAAAATTTAGCAACAAAACAAGCCCGGCTAGCTCAGTCGGTAGAGCATGAGACTCTTAATCTCAGGGTCGTGGGTTCGAGCCCCACGTTGGGCGGGGCTTTTAGGACTACTCACCATATCACATTTCTTTGGCTGTGTTGGACTCAGGATGGATGGACAGAGACAGACTTGTGACACAAACATGGTCTACGCAAGTATGTGAACAGAGATGCTACGCAAAAGGTATTCAACACGTTGCTCTTTGGAGTGTGTCACCTCATAATCTCTAAGCAACGCATGTGCGAGCAGCACACTGAATGCTGGGTGCCTTTAACATGAAAACAACAAGAGAAAGCGTACCCCTACTGTTTGAGTTCACTTCTGCTCAAAACAGCCATTGCTGACCAGTTTGACGAAGCTTTAGCTGAACATAGCTGAACCTACGATTCTTGTTTGCATGCAACTTGCAAGTGTGTCTGTCCATCCATGTATGCAAACATTAATAATGAATGAACAATTGAAAAATTAACCTGCTCGTCCTACATTTAGAAAAAGACAAACTTTTGGATGGGGCAAGAAAGAAAGAACAACAAAGGACGAGTGTGATATGGCAGAGTTATGTTGAAGAAGATAAGCTGTGTCAAAAGGGAGCCTGATCTCTGATCTCTCTGACATGGCTTTTCTAAGTCCAAATCTCCCTATTCTTCTGCAAACACACTGTATCTGTCTTTGTCCCCTTATTTCTTTCTGCTCATCTTAGAGTTTTCTCAATCCAAATAATCCCCAAAGTTCCTCCCTTTTTCTCTTCCTGTCTTTATCTCTCAGCTCTCTCGTATACACAGTTTTTATGATTAAGTCTCTCTTAACATTTAGTAACTAAATGTACCTAACCCTCTGCTCCCTTCTCCCTCTTTCTTTAATGATCTCAGCTTTTTTCAACATTGATTTTAAGTTTTTCTCTCCTGTGTGGAAACAGCATTGTATTGCCCCCCCCTACTCCCTTTTGACTTTTGAGCTCTTAACAAGCCCTTGTATCCGACTAATTCTCTCTCCCACTCTTTTCCTCCCTCCTCTCTGCAACAAGTCCTCATTTCTGTATCTTCCAACTTTCTTCTCCTATTCTCAGGTTGTTCATTTTCAAAAATTTGTACCGTTGACCAATATTAAGCCATCTCAATAGTGCTGACCCGTAAGGGGACATAGATAGAGCTGGAAGGAGGAAGCTATCATAACTTGTTAGAACTTATTGTTCCTTTAGCAACCAAGCTAACAAGCTTACAAGCTTACTAAATGACATTTAACAAGCTTTTGCCAGTTGTTAGCTCTGAGAGCGTTCCCCCATCCTAAATAAAACTTTTTTTTAAATGAAATGATGTACAATTCTGAAAAAAATGTCAGGAGGGAGTGAACAGCACAGTAAAGAGGAAATAGAAAGGGGGCTATTGAGACTGAAGCACTAGCATGTCCTGGCTGCCAAGCTCTCCAGCTACAGTAGTTCACCTAGCTTTTGAAAAAGAGCATTTCACTAAAATACACAGATTACACTCTCTCCCAGTCTTTCTCTATTCTCTTGTCTGTTCTCTATTCATATTTAATACTGTTGAACCCAAAACACCAAATCCCTAAAACCATGAACTAGAGAAGGAGAGTGGAGACAAAAAGGAGGAGGTGGAGGGAAGAAGAGGTGTACAAGGAGGAAAGGAGAGAGCAAGGTGAGTAAAGGTGAGGGGGAAAAGAAAGAGGGTAAGAAGTGAGAGGAAAACAAAGAGAACTGAAGGAAAAGAAGAAATTAACACTCCCCAATCCTCCTCTCTCATTTTCCTCACTGGCCTTTCTTTACATCTCCCCCTCTTCTCTAATTGTCAGGAATGCTGACCTCAGCTCACTTGTTTCTGTGCCAACTCTCTCTTTCTCACTTAATCTAATCATCGCACCATTATTTCTCTTCTCCTCCTCCCTCATTGTTCCCTTCTTCTTCTTCCCTCCATCTATCCTTCCTGGGGCTCTGCTGCAGCCCGCTGACAACGGACAGAATGAGAAACAAATGAGCAGGGAGTGAAGTCTGGGGGGGGGGGGGGACTGCTGAGTCATGCTTAGAAGAAAATAATTTCATTGTGATAAGGCCCTCGGGAATATTAGATTAGATTACTGTTTCGTCTTTCTCTCCAGTGGTGAAAGGAGAACCTTTGTTGATATCTGAGCAATTATCAATAATGAAAAGTGCTGAGTCATGATTGGACAAGAACTATTTCATCATGATAAAAAATTAAGTTTCCCCCCTCCTCGTTTCTCTGTCAAGAAGAGAAAGTTGTTGGTAAGTGGAAAATTACAAATGACAATGTATAGTGTCTCCATGGAGCACTGAGGGGAATTATTTCATTCTGATAAGTCTCTATGGAGTAATAAATTAGATTAGTCCAACGTTTTTCATTTTTGACAGTAACAGGAGAGGAGACACACATGAAGAAAATCCCCATGACTCCAAAAATAGAAATACTACAATAATTGTGGTATTTTTTACAAGTTTATAGGCTTCCATGCACATACATACAGTAAAATCTGTAACTAACAGGCTCACTGATGAATTAAAGGGACTAATCTACCCCTTTGATTGAGATCTACACCTTGAATACCAGAAATATTCCTTTACAATTGCAGCTACTTTTAAATTAAACTCAAGTGTTCACAGGCTTCAAAGTTTTAGAGGTTTAAAGTGGCCGAAGGTGTTGTGTCCACCACAAAGTCTGGTTATGTTTTAGTGCAGAGAGAGAGAAAAACCCCTTTTTTTGTGTTTCTGTATTATCATTTAAGACTTTTTTGGCTAAGGTAAAAAAATACCTAACCAAGATGAACCTATCCAAAGCCATGGATATGAAGAGCCAAAGTGTTAAAAATGGCCATAATAGAGCTGAGTCTTAGCCACACAGGTGCGGAACAATGGCCAAGTCCACGGTCACACATACACAGCCTGTAAATGTTAACCACATGTCTTTTGCAGGGACAGATGGTGGTATATTCCTCACCTTCTCCCTCTTTTTTCTCTTGTTCCATTTCATAAAACATTACAATCACTCCCTCTTCTCTTTGCTTTCACACACTCTTCACCACATCTTCTCTCTAACACTCTCCCTCTCTCTCTCTCTCCATTATACCGCTAGAGAAAATAAAAATGAGAATAAAAACGAAGAAGACGAAGGAGACTGTGAGAAAGGTAGAAAGTGAAGAAGAGTGAAGAGAGCTGAGGTCACCTTGATCTACAGCCTCCTGCCTACACTGCAGCTGGGGGTCAAAGGGCAAAACACAGGAAACCCTTTCAGGGATACACATATATTATTTAACACACGCACAGGTGTGTTTTTATGTATGTAGGTTTAGTACTGCATATACAAAGATTATTCTCTCTTGTATCCATCCATTTATCAGTCTGTCCTAACCACATGTGGTTATCTTTTCCCTGTCATTGGTGCACAGTAACTAACACAATAATGTACAGATACACTGAAATGTGTCTTTTTCTCTAATTATATAGTCTTGGGCTAGTTATAAACTTTGATCTGATCCTCTGAACATGCTCGGAAGCTGTGCAGCATAGGTTGCGGTGTTGCTATGAACCCAATTTCAGACCAGATGTGAGATGTTTGTGGCATTTAATCTCAAGCAAAACGTCCATTCAGTCCACTGACCACAGATTGACCGATGAGTGATAGCCGTCAAAAAACACTTCAGAACAACTTTAAAAAATGGCGCCGTGGATTGTCCATCACAAAGATACAAGTGAACTGCATTTTCTAAATACTGCTTTCTGTTCACACCTGCCATATTTGGCAGTCTACAGCTCACCAAAGCATATACCTCATCGCTGATTTACACTCACTTATAACTTCATACCGCAGTTCTGTCTCTGTCCGTCTGTCTGGAAGGTTATCAGTGTGTATGTGACTTTGAAGGAGCGAGCTAAAAATACTTTACCAGCCTTAACTCACTGCATGGTTCCATGGCAAACACACACACACGGGAATATTAAGGAAGTCTCGCCTGTGATCCATCTTTGGGGGACTGAAAATTATGAGAGAAACCACAGAGAGAAAGTGAGAGAGACAGAAAGAGAGAGAGATAGAAAGGGAGAAAGAGACACCAAGAAGGGAGAAAATACGCTCACACTTTGCACACACACACATACAAAGCAGAAGACAGTAGAGTCTCTGTGTTGTCAGTAACCACCTTCGAGACCCTGAGGTGTCATAAATGACTTCAAATAGCACAGAGAGAGACGGAGGGATGAGGGAGGAAGAGAGAGGAGAGTGATGCATGTTATAATGACTTCATCTGACACAGCCATTCTCTAACACCCCTTTGCTTTTCTCTTAAAGACCCTTTGACACACACACACGCATGAATTCTCTCCTTCTTACGCGTGCAACATCTTTCTTATTGAATCCTTTTGAGCTTATTCTATCCATTAAGTGGATTTTTGGCAATATTCAATAGCTGGAAATCTTTAGCAACAGAGGAATTGTTACATTTTATCCGCCTGAGCGGTTTTGAAGATGACATCGCCATTATTATTGTTATTATTTGAACAGCAGTTTAGTTTTCACAGTTTGTGAATTAAGGGAGATAATAGTGAATACAAAGCTCTTCAATCTCAGTTTGGTTTTGATATGTTATACGCCACTATTGTGTCTTGTGACTGTTGGCCCCACGTATGCAGAAATAAAAATGTATGCAGCCGAGTGGGGCAATGGTTTAACAGACCATCCCATAAGCTCACATAATGCGGGTAATGAAAGCAGCTATGATAATGGTATAAGTCGAATGAATGTAATGAATATTAATTGGTGTATATGTAACCTGTGTAGGACCCCTTTTCTCCATCTGAAGAAAGAAGCGCTTCTTTCTTATTATCTTTCTTCCCATACACAATCATTACAAAAGGAAAAAGCTTTTAGGTTAAGCAATGTACATTACCATTGCATTTATTCCTTTAGCTGACAATTTTATCCAAAGCGACTTACAATTGCTACATATGTCAGAGGTCACACGCCTCTGGAGCAACGAGGGGTTAAGTGTCTTGCTCAGGGACACATTGGTGGATGGGTCAGCAGGGGATTGAACGTGGGTCTACCACACTGAAGGCATGTGTCTTATCCATTGCGCCATCACCACCCCATGTAGCTCTGACTTTTGACCTTCTTGTCATGTATTAAATTATTTATTAATGTTGATCAAGGAAAACCATGTGAATTTGAGCATCAAATAAATGCCTCATTGGAGAAACAAGTTAAAAAGAAGAGAAACAGACTTGGACAAAGTGAGAAGAAACAAGACAGAGAGAGAGAAGTGCAGAGGGGAGAACAAAACACCAAACTCCCAGTAGGCTCATACACTACGGGGTTGGTTTATTCACTAGACCCACGAGAACCTTTACAGCATGTGAGCGTGTCCCCGAGTGTGTGAATAGACCTCTGTGTGGAACCACAGAGGCATTTGGTCATGTTTATATCCTTGTTTTTGGCCTGGGTGTGTACATATTGGGATGTGTGTACAAATTTGTTTGCTTGAGCTCTGTTAAATGGTATCCATACCAGCGAAGTGCCGTGTAAGGTTATGTGTGTTAGTGTGTCTATCTGTGGACATAAAATTTCAATAAACACAAATTCATACGAAAGTGTTGTCACTGGGGATTTGTAGAACATTTGTACCCTGTGTGTGTTTGTGTGTGGGAGGGGCAGGTTAATCCTAAATTTACCCTTGGTGGTCGGAGGACTGTGGTCACATCTGGACTCAGTTTCTCTCTCCTCTCTTGTTTGCTTTGCTCCACTCGTCATTGCCACCTCACCTGAGCGCCCATCCACAAGCCCCCCACCCCCCACCCCCACACACCTTTCTTCCAACACTTTTTCCTCTCCAACTTTTCTCGTTTAAATAACTGACCAAAAATCTGTCCTGGTGTCCACTTGAATATCAAAGTAGACTATGTGTGCAAGTGTGTGCACAGTAATCCTACCTGCTGTTTGAGCTGATGAACCAGACTATCCTTCTCCCTCTTGAGAGCTGCCACCTCGTCCTGGGTTTTCTTCTTCTTGGATGAGGAGAGCTCTAGCAGGGCAATGTTTGCATCTTTCTCACTTATGGCTGCCAGCAGCGCCTCTTGCCTGTACAGAGAACAATCATACATTTTGTTAGTAATACTAGAAATCCACTTAATCAATTTGATTTTATTAAAGCCACATTTGGTGGTATGCCACGTTAATGACATTAATTGCTCCTAGAACTGTTTTTCACAACTTTTAAGACAGAAATGATGTGGTGTATAAGACACTGGAGAATGCAGTTTCAGCTTTTTCTTGCTCAAGTACTGCTGTTAAAGAGACACCATAAAGAGTTGGTTCACCCAAATTACAATTTTATTTTCCATTTCCTAGTGGTATCCAGCCATACAGATTGTTTTGGATTTATTTTCCTATTTATTCACAGGATCATCTTTTTCTGCTGAAATTTCCTGTGGATTATCCAGAGTAACAGGGTCACAAGATGTTCCTTCTAAATATCATTTCACAACTTTATGAGCACCACAAAATTAATTCCAGTCAGCCATGAATTGGGGTGGAGACAGAAATCCCAGAGATGTATTTTTCAAAATCTGGACAAAGGAAACCAAAACTATCTGCACGACTACATATCAATTTGGGTGTACTTTAATTTAAGAGGATAAAATTGGTGAATTTTTTGGAAAAATATGGGCCTCCCTGGTGGTCAAGAATGATGCAAACCATGCGATCAAGATGTTTCCAGTTTGTTCATAGTGTATGTTCACTCTTTCTCTTTCTATTGTGTTTCTCTCCATACCATCTTCTAGGCATGCAGAGCAGCTATTACTTTGTTCTTTTTGCTGGGGGAACTGCAAATATCTCTCTTTAATAGTGACAAACATTACTAATGCGGAGACTGTTGGACCCATGGACACTTCCAATACTCACCCATGGCAGAACGAGTATTGGAAAAGCAGTGGCTTGAAGCTTGTAACTTCACAAGGCCTCCTGGTTTCAATCAAGATACTGATAGCACAGTGTATTTGGTTCCAAAGCTACACAAATTAGCAATTAACCACATTGTGTTTAACTACTAGTAACTTTATTTAACTACATAAGTACACACACATATATAAATGCCTCTCACTCACAGTCTTTCCAGCACTCTCTCTCTCTTCCCCTTGCCTACATGATCGGGCTGACAGATTAGCAGATAGCATTCCATGTGGTCGGGAAGCAACAAGCCGCATCCCATCTATCCCGTTTACGTCATCAGCCACAGACCTGGCTGATCCGCCTCTGAGGACACCCAAGGCTCAGAATTCTACGAATTATGTCCGTTTCCAAACGGGTTTTTCCACAATCCCACAGGGCTTTTAGATTGGCCACACACAATCACAAATGCTCATAAACACACACAAAGATGCAAACTTGCATATGAAAGAACAAATATATTCTTTGTCTGTCTCTCTGCCTGTCAGGTAATATATCAACAGTGAAGTTCAAGAAAAGAACATTTGGAAAGATTTGGGGCATATTTCCCACCAACTGCTCTCATGTACCCCACCACTGCACCTTCAAATACACACATGTATGAACATATACACACACACACAAAAACATAAAATTACCCGGAAACATTTGCAAATCCACACTGTCGCTGAAATCCTTCATTTCATCCGACATTTCTTATGTTTTTTTGTTCTCTCTCTCTCTCTCTCTCTCTCAGACACACACACACACACACACACACACACACACACACACACAAACATACAGATACAGTCGGGAATGCAGTGATGAGAGTCTAAATGAAGACAGATTATATGTTTGGACTGTGCGAAGACACAGAGATTCTTTGGTCAACCACACTGACCACACTGTCAGTGTACAAGTGTCCCATCATGCATCTGGACTGCAGTTAAGACTGGGGTTGGTAGATTGATTCCCATTTGTAAATATGGATTAACAATTTGAGATGATAAAGATACTGTACCTTTATATTATATGATATTATACCTTTGCAATACCTCATATGAATATAGAAATGTTTTTCTACAAAACCATTCTTTTCTACAAAGTGTGTAGACCATTTAAATATTTTTTTTAACTTTAAACCAATGTGAGCTCTTGGACTTTTTTTTTATATCAGAAAGAACATTTCCTTTCTTCCAGATTGTGAGACACTGGAACACTGTCAGTCTTTCCCTTTCTTTTGTCATATAAACACTGGTACACACACACACACACACACACACACACACACACACACACACACACACACACACACACGCACATGCAGAGAAGGCTAATGGAACATTAGTCTTGTTAAAGCTAACAGTGCGTCTAGTTTTATACCATATCTGAGAGTTACCTGCCAGCACATGGCACTTATAAACCCCGGTGATAAAATGATATTTATTCCAGATGCGTTCGTCTCATTTTGGGCCTCTCAATGGTCCCCTCTTCATGTCCGTGTAACGCACACACACACACGCACGCACACACGCACGCACGCACACACATAAAACACTCACTGCTTGGCTTTCTTAGCTTGCACAGCTAAACACATGCTTATGACAAGTGCTGGTTGTGGCTACTACTGTTGCAATGTGATCATTAAAATCTGTTTCAAGTGCAGCTCTCTTTTGCCAAATCTTGAGATAATTCTACCGTCACAGGGCACTTAAAAACATAGCATGCTCTCAGCTCTACTGGTAATGTGCCCTTAGCACTGAAACTAACAAAGACAATGCAGCCAGCACGGTGAGAACGACAGGTTCCCAGTGGACATGCAGCCTTTAGATCTGTGTCTTTCCTTTCAAGTCTTTCCTTTCTGCAGAAATGTGAGGAGCACAGGAGGATAAAAGAAGGTGTACTAAAAGTGAGCAAAGAATAAAGCTTGTTAAAGGGGTTACCTCTCACACTTGCTTAGTTTGGCAAGATCTTTTGTCTTTTTGCGATGGTTATTTTGCACAACACATCACATCACATCACTTCTCTGTGAGCTGTGATATAGCTCATTTATTTCGATGAGACCACTGTGATGACGCAGCTAACATTTATTGTACAAGGTGCAAATTTCTGTCTCTGCCTTAAAGTTGAAAGTCCCTATCTGTCACTCAACCCTCCTACACACCTTACTTTAGTGAGCAGTAAAACAACATTATATTTATATAAACACTTTACAGGATTTCTAAATTTTGTTTCCATTTCCATTTACTATATTCTTTACTTATATTCTCTCACATTTCCTTACAGGCTCCTTCTCACCTATTTACTATCAGCATCTTTCACCCCCCTTCATCTCTCATCTCTTTTTCTTCATGCCCCCCCTCCATCCTTCATCACTCTATCTCTCCACCTCTTCTCTCTCTCCATCTGTAAAGAAGACAGGAGGCATTCTTTCCTTCATTTGGCGGTCGTGTGCCATGATGTCATCGCCGTGGTGACAAGACAGACAGTAAGCAGATACACACGAACGCACCAGGCACCTGACCCCAACCCCAACACACACACACACACACACACACACACACACACACACACACACACGAGGGGGCACTCTGCTTCCTAAAACCACTTAAGCCCCCTCATTTTATCAGAAACACAGTCTTAGATCACTCACATATTTCTATACATACACACACACACACACACACACACACACACACACAAGCAGCCTTCCATGTGTGGTGTGTTATCTCTTTCATGCTGTCACTCTCGACTGCAATCTACAGTGTGTGTGTGTTCAAGTGACAGCCTGTGTTTATGACAGCATGTCTTTCTGAAGGTGTGTATGTGCTCACAAGGATGTACTTCTGCATTTTCACATGTGTGAATGTTCACAAGTTGTCTTTGTGTATCCAAGGCTTTATCCTGTGCATACATGCTTGTAAGCGTGTGCGTATAAGAGCGCGCGTGTGTGTGTAAAGGAGATTCAGTCCGGTGTGACATTGGCCAGTCTCTGTCTAAGACAAACACAGAGCTATTTTAGAAATAATCCCCTCTCTCAGCTCTCTGTTTCCGACTGAACAAAGCAGCTCCCCATTGTTTTCTGTGACACTGTCTGCTCTGGTTACACAGGAGGCTGCTTGTAGGACGCCAGAGTTTACTCTTTAACCTCTGTAGGACATGGTGCGTGTCAAGCTTGGCCTCATTTCTGTGGAGGGAGGTTTTCCTCAGAGGAAGACTTTTTAATGCAACTTAGACTTTGAGGACGTTTTTTCCAAAACTTACTCCACCCTCATTGACCAACAACTGAAACTGCGGCGAGTGAAATCAGCGGTAGTTTCATTTGGCTGGCAACAGGGGATTTAGAACTATGTGATAATCAATATTTACTGTAATCATGAAGGCCATGCGCTTTGGTTTACTTTAAAAAAAGTAGACTGAACATGTTTTAATATACTCATATTTCACTTCATTCATATATATTCATTTTAATCAACAAAAACAAAGAAACAAAGCAAATTTCAGCACAGGAACTGAAATAAGCTTTAATTATGGAATTATGCAGCAGTTCATGTGGACTGGATCTGCCCTCCCTAATGCTATTCAATCTGGACAAGGCAGGTCCAAGATTTATCCCTGGAAGATCAAAGAACATACAAATCAGCAGCAAAACTGACAGCACTAACGGGGTACTGTGATTTTACTGACTGTTAAATGTGTTGATTTAGGCAGCTGATTCACTATAACAGCCTCAATGCATCGCACTTCTTTGTTTTGATTTAATATCAAGTTTATTTTGGCTACAGCTGCAGGGAGTTAGGGATGTGGTCATCTGGATACAAGCTGAGGTCAGATCAGCCTCAGCTGGCTCGCACAGGGGAAGGTAAAAGACATTTAAAACACAATAAACCCCTGATGAGCCTGTAAGTAAGGCACTGAGGATGTGTCAACGAGAGCCACAATATGTATGGTAATCACAGAGTCTAAGATTGATCTATTGATTTTACAGCTGATTACAACCAAATATTTTTTCCACCAATAGTAGAATTTGGATCATACCTGGATCAAAAAGTTGAATTGAAATTAAAGAATTTGAAATTCACAAGGGTGGCAAAGTCAGCAGATATTTTCTACAAATTCATGGTAGAACTGTATGATCGTAGCATGCA